TCCGCGAAAGTTCTGACGCTGACCTATTTTCTTGCGTCAGGATCTTACTGTTGGACAATTCGTCTATGTAATCAGGAAGCGCATCAAGTTGGCCCCTGAAAAGGCCATCTTCATCTTCGTTGATGAAGTACTGCCTCCAACGGCCGCGCTTATGAGTGCAATCTATGAAGAGCACAAGTACGTCCGCGAACCTATTATGCACACACAGGCGCTGACAAATTATATAGGGATGAGGATGGATTCCTCTACGTCTCTTACTCTGGGGAGACTGGTTGGCGGTTTGGTCTTGATACGAAGTGGTCAGAGTCCAAGATGCGCGGTCAGCTGGGATGCTTTGTTTGACCGCTTCCGGCAAGACCACCCACTTTTAAAGGCGTCTCTCTACGAGTCACCAGCCTCGACGAATATCGTCTCAAGTGCGGAATTTGAGTCACATCAGCATTTCGCTGGGATCTTGCGCATGACATGAGCTCGCTCAAGCCTCAATCGCCCAGGGCGTCTCCTCGAAACTCTCCTAGAGCGTCTCCTCGCGCAACATCACGCGCTTCTCCACGCACAAACTTGCCTCGTGGTTCCAGCCTGCCTGGAACCCCGCGATTAGGTGCAACTGCGAGTCCCAAGTTGGCCCCCATCTCCCCTGGCCGCGCAGCTCGTGCCACAAGTCCTGGAACTCAGCTCGCAAGCTTTAATCAACTCCTGGTCGATGGACAATCGGGCCCACGTGATTCGAAAGACGTGAAAGAGAGCTTAACAAGGCTGCGGAGATTAATACTCGCCGAAGGGATCCCTACAAAAACAGTACGTGTCATTCTCTCGTGATGCCTGTCCTATCTTCTCTATTGGGAATAGAATCTGACCCCGCAATGACTTAGGATCCCACCCTCCGGCCCAGGATTTGGAAGATCCTGTTACAAATAGGAAACATCAACGGAGAAGGCTACCTCAAATTAGTGCAACGAGGACCATGTAGTGTAAGAGAGAAGATTAAGAACGATACATTCCGGTATGACAATGATATGACTTTAAGAACATAACCTAACAAAGGAACCTGTATAGGACGCTGGCTACCGATAGGGGATTCAAGGAGCGTGTACGAGAAGACATGCTCGTGCGCCTACTGGATGCTTTCGTCTGGAAAAATCAAGACAACGCAGAGGAGGGACGCCTAGCTTTCGGATACGTTCAGGGCATGAACGTACTCGCCGCACCTTTTCTGTACACCATGCCGTCAGAAGTAGAAGCATTCTATACTTTCTCCAAATTCATTGAGCAATGCTGTCCCCTTTACGTGCAACCCACACTGGATGGTGTCCACCACGGCTTACGAGTACGTCATCGATTTAAACGAAGTGAATATCTGTTGATGATTTTTCTTAGCTACTTGACCGTTGCCTCGAAATCCTTGACGCAGAGCTTTATAATCACTTATTATCCAAACGGCTTACTGCAGAGATTTACGCTTTTCCCTCGGTTTTGACATTATGTGCTTGCACACCGCCTTTGGATCAAGTACTTAAATTATGGGACTTCCTGCTAGCTTATGGAGTACATTTGAATGTGCTTTGTGTGATCAGTCAGCTGCTGCTAATGCGCAAAGACTTGATGAGCAGTCCAAGGTGAGCTTGTGTCGAGTATACACCATTAGTGACTCACCAGAACATGCTTCATCTAATAGTCCCATGAAACTTCTACGCACTTTCCCTCCGCTTGACGCGGAGCAAATCATCGCTTTCACAGTAACACTCGTCCGGGACATCCCCGTCCAGCTCTACGAAGAACTGACCCGACATCCTTGGGATATGAATGGTATCTAAATGACTCGCCTCATTTTATTAGGAGACAGGGCGGCAATATGGACGCTACGTTATGTGGCTGTAGTAAACTACACGTTTCTTGTAGCAAATCTGTATTCCGCAGATATTTTACTAGGTGCATCTGCACTGGTTTATTCGTTCATAGATGGTATTTCTGTTGGTAGAAATTTGTACGAGATCAGTTACGAAAGAAAGTATAACGAAGCCTGGACTTCACCACAACTACGTCTGGCCCCCTTGAATAACCCAACGCGAAATACTACGATAACCTGAAAAAAGCATTTGCAAAATTGGACGATATGGAAATATCCGGGATTCATGCATTGACGTCTGCACAAGAGATGCGCCTCACAAATTACCTGGAGGATCAATACTTGCATATATTAAGAGACTTTAGGAAAAGGTAAAGTGTTGTATCGCGTCATGTACATTATACCCGAACGTACATCTGACTCACCCAATGCTTCTATATAGACACGAACCCACATCTAGTCTTCCAACACTTCCGGACTACTTGAAAGCCATGCGACCATTGATCTTCGACATGATCATGCTTATTCCTCCTCTCACTCCATCTGGAGAATTGAGAACCTCCCTTCTTCTACGGTTCACGTCGGAACTACTCTCGTCGGTGGTGTGCTACCCCTCATTCGTCCCACTAGGTCAACCTCCCGCGAATTCGGATGATAGTGACGAGGGCGATGCAAGCAATTCTGGTGCATCAGGAGGGTCTTTGAGCACTAGTGTGCGCATGGACGAAGACGAGGCATCACAGGCTGCAGCGGAAAGGCGATACCCTTTGGTCGAGTTGTTCGAACTCTTGACAGATCTGGACTATGCATGGTCTACCGTTCTTTCATGTCAAGTCTGGGATAGCAAGACGAAGCGTGGAAAGGACGTTATTCTTGAAATGCCAAGCCTCGACGATGATGTCAAAATGGAGGGAAGCCAGTCTGACGTGCAGACTGAGGACAATGAAATCAAACTCTATGCTCCTAGCATGACGGATTGCACAAGACTTAGGAGCATGATCATTAGTGGGATAGATGGCATCGAAACGTGGCTTGCGGAGGCGGATGCACCCGAGGCAGCTTTGGAGACGTTTGAAAACTGCTTTTCATTAACATTGCGTTTCTTAGGAGAGGATTCGAATCAGGTTGTCTGGCAAGAACATGAAGTGGATGGTCAAGAAACTCTAAAGGTTTGACATTCCACGTTGCAGTCACTAATTTTGTATCATTATGCGTTCCATTTGATGTATAGTATTGATAAAACACGAAATAGTATATTTACCTTGACCATGTACTTTTCAGAGACCCTCCTGTTTTTTCACCTATTCCAACATCCCTTCGACCACAGACTCTGCCGAAGTTGGTTCCTACCATGTCTACCAAGCGACCCAAAAGAAGCCACTTATTGGAACACCATAAACCCGGTCGTGTCTCCAGCGTTCCACTGGTTGTTCCCTTCAAAGAATCGTCAAGAGAGTGAGTAAAGGACATTCATGAAGCATACAGTTTTGGTAGTGCCGCCTGGTCGACGCACTACTAAACCCATTCTTCCCCAATTATTCAGGAGTATTCAGGATACCTAACACTTGAATAGGTGCTTAAAACGACTGGCGCGGTATGAACCGCCTAAGCTCCCACCTTATCCAAGGACGCAGTCTGCAGCAGTTTTGGTAGCCCTCTTTATTGGAAGATGGGGAGATATCTATGTTCTAGTCTCCCGGTATGTGACCACTTCGCATCACAGTATACTAAATCTAAAGCGTAGGCTCGTCGGCAAACGGAATGGAATTACCATCACTTATTCTATGCATGTGATTCCTGCGTCATTCAATTGACATTATCGTTTATAGCCGGTCAGCTACTCTCAGTAGCTATGCTGGAGATACGGCTTTACCGGGAGGAAAGGTGGACCCGGATGACCAAACCCTAGAGGATACAGCGGTGAATCACCTCATTTAATACCCACAACATAGCCGGTACTAAAACAGATCCGAACCAGCGTAGAGAAGCATTCGAAGAGGTTAGAGACACTTTGTTGGCTCCAACGCCATTGGTTACCAAGATTGCAGATTGGCCTCCCGAGAGACAAACGAAGAGTGCCACTTTTATGCACTCTTTTCCCCTTTCTCGCACGCTCTAATCTTATTGTAACCCCGTAAGTCCTTTCATGCGTTCTTGGTGATTATATGAATAATTATTTTCAATAAAAATGGTTTGCAGAGTGGTCGTGCTCGTCACGGATCCGACTCTACGAGTGGGTTTACATAGTTGCCAGCCCTATGTACTAACTCTTCTTCTGTAGCCTATCCTCAACACACCTGAAGTGGATACTCTGTTTTCGCATCCGCTTTCCTCGTTTCTGCACAATACTGCACCATTTCCACTTCCAAGTACATCCCCTTATCTACCCGATACAACGGTAAATGAAGCATCAAACGACGTGATGCGCGCGACATCCTCTCAAGAGCAAGAAGAATCTGAGGAGGAGGACAAGAAATATGCGGGACCGCCACCACCGCGTGTAAACCCCGCAGAATATCATACTTTTCATGATATGCCGTGGGGCCCTACACGGGTTAGAATCCATTCGTTCCTAACGGGTCGAGAGTCTTCGGGCATGAAGCCAATAGCGGGGTTGACCGCTTCGATATTGCTCGAGGTGGCACAAATTGGTTATGGAGTCGCCCCAAACGGATTCGAAGTCGATGCACCAGGCCAAGCAGGGCGTAGGGAAAGGATTGCGTGGGAGATGAATCGAACTGAGAAGTTCAAGGATGCTGCTAAACGTGAAGGGATCCATTGGGATTGGGAACGGGAAGAGAGGAAAGAGAGGGAGAAGAGAATGAGTATCCATCGGTTAAAAGCAACGACCCGATTATAGTATAGCATGTCCCCAGTGGCTTCTAGTTTGATAAATATAGTGGCCTCGTCGTGTATGTGTGCCGTCATGAAGTGGACTATTGTCGAATGGCAGATTGACAATAAGGTAGAGGTCGTCGATCAAGATAAACATGAAAAGAGATTGCAATAGTGGTCTAGATCTTCAAGGGTGCGTAGATCTGTGGATTGCAAGATCCTACGAGTGCAATGACGTCACTTTATGAACATCAATTTCTGCATTAATCGCTCGCTGTATTTCGTGTCGTAAGCTGGACTCAGAGCGCGTAACAATTCCTCCAAGCTCTCTGAGATTTCCATCTGTGGGCTCTGTGTTTCTTGTGAATCCGGGTCTGCAACAATCTGTGGAAAGCCGATCAACAAAGGGAACCGTTCTGAGCGAGGGCGAGCTAAAAGCCACAAAACACCGGGAAAAAGTACGGAGTTACGTACCTCGTAACCCACATAAGTTAACCGTAAAAAGACGGCCAGGCCCTCCAGCAGCTCGACTCGTGCTATTGCCTGAGCGTGAGCCAGAACACTGTCGGATGCACTTATGGAAGGCGGCGTTAGTTGGTAACCTTTAATGCCAAACGCGTTCTCTCGAAGTGCATTTGATAGCTCGGTTTTGTAAAAATTCTGAGGTGTAGTGGCCATTGATGACGCGTAAGGGTTTAACTTCGGTCTTCTATTTGCCATTACGCTAGCCACGGAAAGGCGCCAGAAAGTGCAACCAAATTCAAAAGTAGTTGATGGTAAAATAATGTCGGGAAAACAGGAATAGTAAATATTATCGAAAAATCATTAATACTAAACATAAGTCAAACTAAATACTTCGGAGACCAATAATAAATAGCAGAAATCCTCTAATTGTGTGGTAAGCCATGTACCATTCATTCAACGATTATGGAGCCTCTTCCAGTCTGGCTTTGACGTCTTATATGCTTCTTTTCTCCTTCAATGTACGCTAGGCGGGTGTCCTCGATAGCTTTCATCCATTGCTGACATTCCCTGGCTGTTCCAGCCTTCAACGCTATGGAGGTCCCTCCTCTTGGATAACTTGTGGTTATTGTGAACGCTAAATCATCTGTTTCGATTGTCAATACGGTCTTTAAGCGACTCTCTGTGCGGATGAAGTTACCTCTGTTTCCTGCCACCTCATGGATGTTCATATCCGAGAGAGGAATAGGCTGCATATTCTGGTCAGTCTTTGCAGTGACTTCCATGTGACTGTACCAACCATTTTATAAATCACACCGGTCGTCTCCTCGACGAGTATGATGATATCAGAGCAGAGGACCATCCTG